TATTAGCAAATGGAGGTAGACTTTGACATTAAACAAAAGATCCTTGATATTCTCAAGGCAACAGGATTTTCAGAAACTAGAGCAGCCAAGATGGAAGTCGAAGATTTTTTAAGGTAGCATTTTTGGTTCAACTTGTAACTTAATGTAGTATCTATTTTCGAAAGTACTAATTTCTAATTATATATATATAAGGTTACTCTACGAATTTAATAAAGAAAATCTTCATTTCTGCTAAAATCCTTTTTTATAATGGCATGAGTGTGCGTTAACAATAAGATTTAAGTAGACTAATTTAACGTAATGTGGCTTGAATATTGAGTTTTGTGAGAACTGGAACAAAGAGAAGATAATGCATGAACCACGTAAACATTGAATAAATGCTAGGGTGGGAAATATTGTGAGAAAAAAATAAAAATGAAAAATATTACACAATAGGATTCTTTTACTTTCTTTGATTTCATTTCGCTGGGACAAAAAGTGTAAAAAGACAGTAAAATCATCGCATCTATGTATATGTTTCTTTTGAGTTGTGTTGTGTTGTGTGAAGAAAGAACACCAAGTTTTGATTAAAGTATTTAACCTGCTACAATAAAAATAATAATAAAATTAATAACAATTTTTCAAATATAGTAGTTATTTAAAAACAAATAATAATTCTAAAATACTGTGATATTTAATTAACTTCTTTTATACCATTATCATTAGTTTTATATTGAACATTATTTTTTTTTTAAAAAAAAAAATATTCTTTTAAATATACTTTGTCATTATACAGAAATCATGTTATAATTTAATTTATATTAGGATTATAAATTTTTTTTACTCCTCTTTAAGTTTGATAATAATTTTTGATACTTTTTTTTTTTTATGGATTTTTCTTGAAATACCGTGTATTTAAATTAAATCGTTCATATATGTATCTTCCAAAAAACTTAAAAAACTATACGTCTTTTTCTAAATATTCATCATATTTCTTTTCCACATGTCCATCGGCTTTACACTCGTCAAATCTTTTTATATTACGGTCATCATTTTTTCCGTCAATATACGGATGAGAACCTGATTTATGGAGAGAGCTAACCTTCTTCCTTCTAATTATTCCTACCAAATACTCAATTCCTGCGGTCAACATTAACAGAGAGGCGAACACGGTAAACAAAGGTCCAAAAAAACAATTGGCCATTGGAAGAGCCCTTGGTTGAGCTGGGTACATATCATCAAGCTGCAGAAAGGGTCTTGCACGTGAAAAAGGATCGAATTTGGTAAGAG